GGAGCGGAGGAAGGGAAAACTATAATCAGGCTATGTTGCATGAAAAACAAAACCTCCATAAAAAAATAATTCAGGTGTGGTCTTGAATTTTTGCAATCCCAGCTCCAGGATAGGATATAGGTGTATCTCTAGGGCTTGCTAGTCTGTTAGTTTAGCCTACTTGGTGAGCTCCAGGTCAAAAAACTCAGCCCAACCAACCAAACACTAACACAAGACTCCCTAAAAACCAACCCTCCAAAACCACCAAACAAGCAAATTGGGTTCATACCTATTGAGAAGTGACACGGGAGGCTGAGGTTGCCCTGGGGCTTCCAAATGCACACATGCGTGGTGTCAGACATGTACACATCAGAGCATGTAGGAAATGCACACACATGAACAAACATCAACCAAAATAAAAACAACTAAAAAGAAATATAAAAACTAGAGAAAGGAGAGGGAGAGAGAGACGGGCATCATTAACAAGAGCAGAGAAAATGCAGTTCCGTGAAATAGAGACGATGTCGCTTCACTGAAATATAATTTGGAGATCCAGTGAGGATGTCTGGGAAGTTAAAAAAATCTTAATATGTATTTGTGTGCATTTACTTTTTATAATTTATTTTTATTTTATGTACATTAGTATATTAGCTGCATGTATGTCTTTGTGAGGGTATCAGATTCCCTGGAACTGGGGTTTACAGAGAGGTGTGAGCTGCCATGTGGGTGCTGGGATTTGAACCCAGGTCCTCTGGAAGAGCAGCCAGTGCTCTTAACTGCTGATCCATCTCTCCAGCCCCTTGTGTGCATTATTACATGACATGTTCATATATAAGTGGGCATGTGAGTGTGTGTGGAGGCCAGAAGACAACTTCAACTGTTGTTCCTGACGTTATAACCACTGTGTTTTCTTTTTTGCTTGTTTTGTGTTTATATTTTTGAGACAGAGTATCTTACTGGCTTGGCACCTACTAAGCACGTAAGGCAGGCCAGTGAGTTCCAGGGATCTCCCTATCTTCAAGTGGATAAGCTACTCCTTTACCTTTTCATTTATTTTTAACATTTAATGTGTGTGTGTGTGTGTGTGTGTGTGTGTGTGTGTGTGTCAGAGCACAGGTGCCCTTGGAAGTCAGAAGAGGGTGTTGTAGATCCTGGAGCCTGAGTTACAGGAAGTTAGCAAATGCCTGAGGTGCGTGGTACGAACTGACAGGGCTCTTAATGACTGAGCCATGTCTCCAGTTCCAAATTGCCTCTTTACAAAGGACAGTTTTTCTTTTAATTTTTATTGACACATAATTGTACTTATTTACAGAATATATTTCTCTAAACGTGTATATTGTATAATGATCGGGTCTAGAAAATTAGTATATCCAACACTATAAAGGTGAGTAGTCATCAAGGAAATACAAATTAAAAACAAATGAGATACCACCAGCACTCAGTATGCCAAAGAAAGATCTATCTGTACTCCCGTTTTATTACAGCTCCATTCCCAAGTGCCAAGACAGGCATTTTCTATTTTATTCTAATTTATAATTTTAAAAAGGCAAAATATGAAAAACAGCCTGCAAGTCTCCTTTTCTTGAGCCAGGATCTCACTCTGTAGGCATGGTAGGCCAAGAATGTTGGCCAGGCTGCCCTTTGTCTTGAACTTACAGCAATCCTCCTGCCTCTGCCTCGTGAGTTCTGGGTTTATAAGCATGCGCCACCATCTCTGTTCTATAAAACTGACCTGTAAAAATGGTCAGGAAAACCAGTATGATGGTGGAAGCCTGTAATCTGAGCACTCAGGAGGCAGGAGGATAGCTGAAGGATAGCCTGGGCAGTATTGTGAGACTCTCTCAAACAAAGTGACAAACTCCCCAGATTGTACTAACCAAACATACAGAAACTGTCCAGATGTGGTTCACTAGTACTCAGTAATACAGCACTTGTTAAATTCCTGGGTATAGTTCCCAACATGCCAAGGGTGGGGTATGTGTGCTTTACTTTGTTGGTAGAGAGTCAATATACTTGCTATCATACAGAAAATACCTCTGTGAGTAGAGATTATTTGAACACGGCCTGGATTCAACTGAGCTTTTTAAATATTATTTATTGACTTTCATGTATATGAGTGTTTTGCCCAAATGTATGTTTGTGTGTCTGGTGCCCAAGGAAGTCTGAAGAGGATATCAGATCCCCTAGAACTGCAGTTACAGGTGGTTGTAAGCCTCCATGTAGGTGCTGGGTACCAAACAAGTCCTCTGAAAGAGCACTTAGTCACTGAGCCATCTCTCCAGCCCTCACCTCCAATGGAGCTTCTTATAAAAGCTTCTAATTTCTGAATGTACAATTACCCCCTCCCCAATGATTGTGAAATACTATTTAAACTTAAGACACCAACGGCGAACATTTCCCTAGGTACACCTGAGCCTCAAGACCAGCAAACCTCATCGTTTGAGTGCTTTTTAAATACCCACAATGGCCCTCTCTCTTCTCCCCGTTCTGTTTCTACTGTTAGGCAGCTGATGGTGGTGGGTAGTGTCAGATGGCTGAGGTAAAAATGTCAGTGCTTTCCATCTGTCCTTCTAGGCATTGTTAACTAATCTGTGTCACCTTTCATTTTTGGCCCATTCTCTGAGAACTTCCTGTTTATGTGTCAGCTTCCCCTGCAAGGACTGTGAAGAACACAGGCATAGGGACTGTAGATGCTTGACTGGCTCTCCGGCGCTATGAGAGAACATAAGGCACCTGGTATGTACGCTTGCTTACTGCGTGTGAGCTAGAAATTTATCTAGAGGTGTGTCTGAAGACGGGTGGGACATGTGAGCATCACATTTATCTGACTTAAAAGTCTGAACTATTTGTGTATCCTTTTCAACATTTGCTATGTATTTCTATTTTGGGGAAGTCTGTGACAAGAAATTTGATGGTAAATAAGGTGTAGGGATGGCAGTTTCACAGTCCTGGCCCCCTGAAGTCACTTGTTACGCTTTGCTGTTTACAAAGCTAAAGAGTACTAATTATTGTCAGTATAAACGAAAATAGTTGGGATTGAATAGACTTCTTCCAGAATTAAGGCCATTTTAACACCTTTTATCAAATGTGTTGTGTATGTGTGTGTGTGTGTGGGGGGGGGAAGCTGTTGCTAGCAAGGGAAATAGAAATCTAGCCAGGATGGAAAAATAAGTAGCTTGTAGGTCTTTTTAGCCCAGAGGGGCTTTTCACTCATTCACACTTCCTGGTGACAAGATGAAAGTGCAGTTTAGTTTTTCATAAATGATTTGCATTTTAATCACATCCCTTTCTCCCCTCGCCGGAGATAAAGGCTTTAAACATTCCCTAACTGGGCCCGAGATAAAACTGCAACCAAATACGGTGCCTATAGTGGGCCAAAGACAACATATTTTTGAGGCTAAACTATGTTGAACGGTGTAATAGCCTCTGGACCAACCTCGGCAAACACCTAACACAGAGGGAGCCGAGCCTAAGTGCAAACCCAAGGCAGCAAGCGTTCTGCCTTCAGGAACATTGCAATTTGTTTCTCGGTCTGTTGGTGGAAAAACCTTCAAGTGGCAAAAATAAATCCCTCCGAACCGAAAATAGCAGGCTCCATTCACGCGGCAACCAATAATATTTCTGGTTTACACTTGAATGTTTTCATTCCGTAACTGCCGCAAACTGCCAAAATACAATTTTATCGCGAGAAGGGAGGACTTAAAAATAGGACGGGGTTATCGCAGAGCGTCAGAGGTTTTGAAATTCACCTCCCGCCACGCAACTCACACGCGCTACCTGTTAAAAAAGAAGAAGAAGGAAAAGAACCCCACTGAGGGTGTGAGAAGACTAGTCCTCTGGGTCTCCTCACCTCACCTGACGTCTCCTAAACCAGCTAGAAAGCCCTGGGCTCTGCTGGCGGCCTGCGTGGGGCCGGCATCAGGGAACAGTGCGGGGTCCGCGCAAAGGGCCCGCGTGTCTTCCCGCACGCCCGTAAGCACGTAGGTTCTGATAACCTCACAAGTCTTCTCGGCTCAACCTAATCCGGGAGAAATCTTTCTTTTTTTTTTTTCCTTTCTCAAAACACCAGCGCGGGCGAGGAAGGAAGTGAGCCAGGGGCTTGGCCGCCCCGCGCGCACGCGCACCTCCCGCCGCGCGGCGCCGGAGCCCCGCCCCCTTCCTTCTCTCACCCCACCCCTCGGCGCTGGGGAGTGACTGAGTCCCGCCAGCCCCTCCACGTCAATCATCTCTCCTCCTCCTCCTCCTCGCACTCTCTGCACCTTGTTATTAATCTCTAAAGCGATAGCGCCCGGACTCCTCTCCCCCGGCCCTCGGGGGTGTGAGCGTGTGTGAATTAGAGCGAAGGCGCCGAAAGCTCGCGTCTCTCCTCTCTCTCCTCCCTCTCGGTTCGGCCCCGGCCTCGGCAAGCAACCCGGCTCGGCAGCAAATCCCCGCAGCGGCGGCAGCCTCGGCGCAGGAGAAGGCCAAGGCCCGGCTCCGCGAGGCTCTCGCCCCAGCGGCTCGCCCCCGTCTCCGGCGGCCGCGGGCCCTCTCGTCCTGCGCGCCCCGGTCGTCGTCGCCCCAGCCCGGCGCGGCGCGGCCCGCGTTCCCCTCTCCCCGCCCCCTCCCGACCCGTCTGCTCTTCGCTCCCTTCGGCCGCCCTCCGCCGCCTCGGTGGTTCCTCAGGCGGCCCGGCCCGGCCCGCCCGCCCCGCGTCCCCTCCGGCCGGTGCCTCTCCCCCCGGCGGGCTGCCTGCATGTCTTTACTGCCCTCAGCCCCGCCGCCACCGCCGCCGCCGCCTCCCCCGCCGCCGCAGCCCCAGCAGCAGCCGCCCCGCCGCCGCCGCCGCCGCCACCGCCCGGACCCTGGCGCGCTGAATGCAGGTGAGGAGGGGGCGCGGGCCTGGGCTCTCCCGGCCCTGCGCGCTCGCCTTCCGGGGCCGGGCCTCCCGCCGTCGCGGGCCCTTGGGGGCGAGCGGGCGGGCGGGCGGGCGTGGGTGTTTGTGTTTGCGTCTGAGGTCTGGAGGGGCGCATCTGTGGGGGCCTGGTGCGCGCGCGGGCGCGCGTGTTTGTGTGTGTGTGTGTGTGTTTCCCCTGCCGCGGGGAAATGGCTGCTGTCGCTCCTTCTGGGCCCGCCGAGGAGAATGAGGTAGAGTGTTTCCCGTGCTTCGGAGTGGGACCCGGAGTGGAGCGAGGGCGAGCGCGGCCCCCCGGGGGAAGTGAGGTGGGCGAGGGACGAACGTGTGTGGGTGTGTGTGTGAGTTGGGACTTTGGCGGGCGAGCGGGAGGCGGCCCCGCGGCGAGTGGGTGTGCGTGTGTGTGTGTGTGCGTGTGTGTGTGCGCGCGTGTGTCGGGCGGCGGGAGCCGGCCCGCGTCGCCTCGGGGGGCGCGGGTTCCCGGCCGTGTGCGTGTGGGGAGGGGGCCCGGCCGGCGTCGGGGGACCCCTGAGCGGCGTGGTCCTCCCGCTTCGGAGACCGGGGCTCGGGAGCCTCGCAGGTGAGAGCTGCTCGGCGGGGCCCCACGTCGCGGACGCGGGAGGGAGTGCGGCCCCCACGGCGGCGGCCGAGCTGGCGGCGGGGGCTCGGGCCGCGCTTGCCGAGGCCGGGGCCGCGGCAGGAAGCGCGCCGGCCTGCAGCGCGGCCTAACCGTCTTCGCGCCCGCCCGCCGCTCGCCCGCCGGCCTCCCCGGACGCTCCCGGGACGCCGTGCTCGCGCGGGCCCTGGGCGCTGCCCCGGGCCTGGCCAGGTGAGGGTCGGGGGCGGGACACGCGGGTGGCGGTCGCCTGTGCCGCCTCCGCGGCTCCCCAGGGGAGACGGAGGCATATTTTGGCGTTCTGACTGCAGGCCTTCCTCGGGCAGGCGGTGGGAACCCGAGGGAAAGTGAATCAAAACAGTAAATCTCGGAAGACGCGCTGTTGAGAGCTCCTCTTTACGCCCTCCCTCTAAGGCTGTGCGAGGAGAGGCTGAGTAAATACGGTCTTTGTTGTTGTTGTTGTTGCAGATTACTTTGTCGTTGGTAAGATTTTCCCCCCCAACCCTTTAGGAAGATCGCCAGGAAAGGCAGAGGCAGGAAGGGAAAGTGGCCTTCTTGGCCTGTGGTGCTGGTGGGATCGGATGGGTTTTGTGAATTTGAAATTGCTTCTGCCCTGCCTCCTAGAGGGAAAGGCGTGGACACATGGAACCGAGGAGGAGGTCAGCGAGGAAGAGGAAGTTACCGGAGCTGTCATGTTAGCCCAGGCAGCGTATGTAGCTTAGACTGTTGAGCAGGATTGTGCTCGGGCTTGAGCTGAGCCGTTTGTACACAGTGGCAGCGCGGAACAGCGCGGTTTAGCCTTACTGCTGCTCGGTTGTCCATCACCATAGCCATGTACAACCGAACGTATTTTCCTCAAGTCTCCCAAACCTAGACCCAGCAGCGTCTGTGCTCCTGGAAAGCTCTTTTAGAAGAACCAAAGCCCAAGGCGGACATTAAGGTAAACCCGCCAGTAGACTCCGTGCGTTTTCAGAACTGTGTATACATGGCACTCTGCCTTCTTCATTTCCCGATTTACCTTACTGTCTTTACAGTTGTATTTAGTTAGCCCACACAGCTAGACCTCGACTGGGTGGAGTCACAAAACAGATTTGATGCTTTTAGGCTGTGGTCAGTGGAGGGCCGGAGACTGCCCTTTCCTGAACCGGGTCTCACAAAGAAACAGCAGGTCATTCGCTGAGAAGGTGAGGAGCGGGGGAAGGAGAGGTAAAAAGCTGTTTTCTAGTCAGTATCTGAAGAATAGCCTCATGTGTGCAGCACGGCGGAAGAAGGACTTTTACAGACCTGTTAGAACCACGGCCGTGTAATGTGTATTCATTCTCATGTTCTCTTTCTCATTAGAATATCTAGAGTTTGTACATTTGTTTTCTTACCTGGATCAAGATGATGGTATCTTTTCAGTAAGGTTATGAGAATAGGATGAGAAAACATGTTTGGCACACAGTGGGTGCTTTATTTTAGTACTGCTTGCTACGGACAGCTCTGATTATAAGTGTCGAAAACCGTTTTTAAGTACAAATACACAATATTGCTTAACTGAGTTAGAGATCAAGAAAATACAGCTGGGGATGTAGCTTTGTGTACAACTTAGCTTGCATGTATGAAGCCCTGGGTTTGGTTTCCTGCACTGAAGGGCAAAACAAGTATTTCAGAGGCCTTTGAAATACATAAAGTATTTGTAAGCGTGTGAGATGTACTTTTCCTAGAAATAAAGTCGATGTATATGAGTTTATAAAAAATAGCTGTATTTGATATATTTATTGTTTTTGAGTAGTCTCTTAGTTTCATTACTTAGGAATTTTGTAACATATCCCCTGGGGATTCTAAGTTCTGTACCTGTTTGAATACATCAAACATTAAAATGGATCAAAGAACTAGAATTTATGTACAGTTACAAAGAGTTGTCATAAAAGTGCTATTTAATTCTTATAGTTTATGTTGACTGATTTTGGTAAATAAAACCTTTAGGAGTAGCTTTCTTAGTGGAAGCAAAGCTTTCCTACCATCTTATGATAATTTGCTATTTTCATTGTTTTGCAGAGAGTAATAAAGGCATTATTCATTGAATTTTAAGTTTTTTAAATTTAATTTTAATTTGTGATTTTGGAAAACCATAATGGTGAGGTGTATAAAGCAAAGGTAGGAGAAGTTAAAAGAATGATAATTTTTAAAATTTAAATTAGAAACAAGCTTGTTTTACATGTCATTCCCAGCTCTCTCCCCTTCTCTCTGTCCCCCCTATCCCCTTTCTGCTCCCTGGAAGGGTGAGGCCTCCCATGGGGGGATCCTCAAAGTTGTCATATCTTTTGGAGCAGGGCCTAGACCCTGCCCAGTGCGTCTAGGCTAAGAGAGTAGCCCTCTGTGAAGTGGAAAAGAAAGACAATTTTTAAGATTACTTGCTTTTTAAAATTTGAGAGGCTTGCCCTGTGGTGTAGGCTTACCTCATACTTAGCATTCTCCTGTCTCTGCCTCCCTACTGCAGTTATAGGCAGTTGCCATTTCTCTTGGTTTTAATTTAAGAGGTTTTTGTTTTTTTCCCCTCATTTCCTTTTTGGGGATGGGATAAAGACAGCTGTGGGAATGTGGGAATAATGCCATTGAGAGCTCAGTTGATGTCTCATTAAAAATACCAGCTTTGAGATTGGAGAGGTGGTTGAGTCATTGAGAGAGCATAATACTCTCACAAAGGACCAGAGTTGGGCTCTTAGCACCCATGTCAGGCAGCTGACAACTAACTGAATGCCAGCTCTGTGGGGTCTCATAGTCTTCTGGCTTCAGAGGGCACCTATATACATGTGCACTATATACAGACCTTACAGTTAAAAATTAAAAATATTATCCTTAAAAACATGTTTCCCTAGTTAGATTTTCTTTGTTTTAACAGCAATGATCCTAGGATATTTTCTCAAATTTCAAAATATCCAGTGAAAGTTTTAATATATAAACAACCAGTGAAAAATTACATACATGCACATACATACATGTGTGTTTATAGAGATGACTGTTAGAAGGCAAAATATATTTTGATTTCTCTGAAAATTTAGCATACAGAGTGTTAGGTATTCACTGTGGCATTTTCAAAAAAAATTGTTTTGAGTTCCATCTTATCTCTCCTACCCTTTAACCCTCTTTGTTTCTATCCTACATCTCCGTCTGGTTTTATATCATATGTCCTTTTGCCCTTCCCCTACCTCCTCATAATCTCTTTACTCTTTCTTTCTTTTTTTTTTTTTTTTGGTTTTTATGAGACAGGGTTTCTCTGTATTCTTTTGGAGGCTATCAGTCCAGCCTGGCCTCGAACTCACAGAGATCCACCTGCCTCTGCCTCCCGAGTGCTGGGATTAAAGGCGTGCGCCACCACTGCCCGGCTTTACTCTTTCTTGAAATCCATCCTAGTATTGTAGGTTTTACCTACATTTATTCCCACTTATATACATATGAAGACAGAACATTTTGTCTTTCTGCATTTGAGTCAGTTGGCTTAATATAATGCTTTCCAGGCTACCCATTTCCTTGCAAGTTTAATTTTTCTTTACAGCTGAGTAAAATTTCATTGTGTATGTATACCACATTTTCATTATGGGCATCTAGGCTGATTCCATTTTCCTTGTTATCATGGCATCTAGACTGATTCCATTTCCTTGCTATCATGAATATAGCATCAGTAAATATGAGTGTGCATGTTTATCACTGTCATAGGATATAAAGTCTTGATTGTATATACAGGGGTGATAAAGCTGGGTCATATGGTAGGTAGTGCTGTTTTTAACTTTTCGAGGTAGTCTGTACTGGCTGTACTAGTTTACACTCCCATCAGCAGTAAGTAGGGATTCCTATTTCTCCACATCCTCTTCTTCAGCTTGCTGGTACAGGCCTGTAATCCCAGCCCTTGTGAGGCAGAGGCAGAGGCAGAACCCTGTAGTTAGGTCAGTCCCAGCCTCATATTGAGACTCTGTCAGCTAAACCAAACCAAACCAAACCACCGCTCTCCCAAAACAAAAAAGGCAGCCCCTCTACTCCAAACAAACAAAAGCCAAGTATTTGGATAGTTTATTTTTAGCAGTGGAAATACTCATCCTTTTTGTTTAAAGAAATTATAACAAAGTCAAGGTGGAATATTTTTTAGATTTTGAGATGTACTGTTATCTAAAGGAGCTGTAAGCAGTCTTTCTAGAATGTTCATTATAAACACCTTTCATTAAGAGGGATTAAAATATTTAGGAATTTCTGTCTTTACTGCTAATGCCAATTATGGAAATAACTTTACCACACACTTTTAGTGCCTTATCATGCAGAAGTTTGCATGTCCTGGTTATCATGATTATCTTCTCTGTGGTGACCTATTTGGAGCACCTTATATTTTGTGACTCCTCCATTCATGGACTCTTGGGATTTTGTTTCTGTCTCACAGAACATTTCTTAAGAACTGAAGGGGACAATTCCCCAAATTTCATTGACAAGAATTTGTCATATAACATTATTTAAATATAATGAATGTGAGAAATAGCCCTGGATAAAGACAGTTTATCTTTGCTACAAAGGGCTTTAGGGCATTAGTTTACATGATTGAACTTACTTGTAATATTATATCTAAAAGGTGAATTATAATACTTGAGA